ATGAATACCCAGCGTGATGACTGTTAACCTAGGCTACACCATACTTCAAGACAACATTTCATTTATTTGTAAGTAGAAATAAATATTTCACAATTAAAAAAAAGAAAAATCAGCAAAAATGTAAATACCTAGCAATCAGTTTAAATAAAAATCATGTGAAAACTACAAAGAAAACTTAAAACATTATTGAAGGATACAAAAGAGGAATTGATCAAATTGAAATACATGGCACATTCTTTTATATAAATGTAATTTTTTAGATTCAGAAATATAAATAGAATGACCAAAATAAGAAGGCTATTTTTTTTAAACATTTTATTAGGGGCTCATACAACTGTTATCGCAATCCATACACACATCAATTGTGTAAAGCGCATTTGTACATCATTCTCAAGACATTTTCTCTCCACTTAAACCCCAGACATTAGGTCCTCATTTTCCCCTCCCTTCCCGCTCCCACCTCCTGCGTGAGCCCTTGATAGTTTATAAATGGGTATTTTGTCATATCTTGCTTGATTTCTGTTTTCATAGAGGTTGATAACTGAGCCACCTATAATGAAATCATTGTCGTCTTCCAATTTTCTCCATTTCAAATTTTCTCCATCATATTGTTCTTCCTCAGTACAGTTACGAGGATGATTGTTACCTTCATGTCAACCTGAATCGATCCTGAAGGCATTGTCTTTTCATTAGAATCACCTGCGCTTCATAAGCTGCCGAGGATTCATCCCATCCTGGAGCCACATTCTTCCCAGAGCCACTTTTCCAGATAATTTGTTCAGCATACAGATTGAATAAGATAGTTCAACAGATACGGCCATGCTGCATACCTTTTCTAATGTTAAGTCATACAATATCCTCCCATTTGTTTGGACACCTGCCTCTTTATCTGCCTACAAGGTCTGTTTGATTAAGTGTTTTGAATTCTTTCTTTAGAATGTGATCCATTCATTTGGCAGGATCCCCACAGTCCAAGGTCTTTGCATAGTCAATGAAACACAGGTAAACATTTTCTGGCGCTCTGTTTTTGGCCAAGATCTTTCTGGCATTAGTAGTGATCACCTTCCTTCCATCTTCTTTTCTGAATCTGACTTGAACTACAGATTTTATTTTTATTTTCATTTTTAATTACAAGTATAGAGAATTTTCATGAATTTATTATCTTATTATTACATAAAGCTTGTATACTAATATCATTTGCCTATAAAAATTTTCATCTGTGAGAGATTGGTGTGATAAAGACATTTAACTTTTGTGTTAAATTTGCAGCATATATTTTATCAAATTATTTCAATTTTATTGCCTTTTTACATGCAGATTTTAAAGAATTTTTTTGTACTGAAATCTAATGGGTATGTATTACTTATTTTATGATTCTGGAAACCACCCCTTCTCTAGAATTTGGGCAAATGGATAATTTCATTTTATTACACACACCCACGCACCTCTCCTTTTAGGGAGGATCTTTTCACATTTAAAAAAAACCTCTGTGATACACACATGGAAAAGTACATAAAACAAATAAATGTAGCTTAAAAAACAATCATGAGTTGAGAACATTTCCATCTCCCTAAAAGTTACTGAAACTCCCATGGAGTTCAGTTCCACGCCGACACCACACAGTACTGCCAGGAGGTGGAATCAGAGCCATAGCAATTGGTTATAACTGGCAGAGCCTAGCCCACAGTCTTCTAATCAAAATATTCAACTTACCCCCTTGGAGGTGTCTACCCACGATCCTGACTTTAATGAAAATTATATTCCAGTTCTAAATATTGAT